GGTAGGAAATTTACAAAATATCTTCATGGAACATGATCTTTACTTAATAGTCCTAATGATTTTTGGCACAATAATTTTGACCCATACAATGTATTTTTGGCTATTGCTACAAATATACCCCAGTGACTTAAGACTGGTTTTGTGGTCCAGGGTCACATTTAAGATCAGTGAACCGGTTCATTGTGGAGATGGGACACGTTTTGCTTTCACTGCAGGGATCAGATGTCCCCACAACGACACTAAAACCTAAAATCACCTGTGTTGTGAGAATCAGCAAAGTTTACTCATGAGAGAACCGACTTAATAAACCAAGTAAATCAAGTCTTTATGAAAATCTAAAGACGTAGAAAGATTTATGTCATGGTTATGTTGAGGTTTGGGGGGTTAGAAAATATCCTTCGCTCAGCACAAAAAACTGAACAAGTCATCAAGTCATTCTAACAGACTTCACAGACACAATTAAAAACTGATCCTGGATCTGCACGAAACTTCACATCCATGCCTCCTTTGCTTCATGAACTCATGTCAGCATGCTCCGTTTGACCCTGGTTGCCGTGGTGACACTCACGCTGTATCTTCTAGGTAGCGCTTGCCTTCAGAACAGCAGCAGGCGTGGAGTTACGGCACGGCTCAAGAAGCTGTTCCTATGCTCTTCTACCAAAACACCATCCACCACTACCCAAAGCAAGTCTTCTTTCAACACAAACCTCCAACACCTTTCCTCGGAGAGCTCGTTTGCTATTAGTGTATTGTCCACATGCTTGTGAAAAAGAAGTGTGCTTAATTGTATTTAATGCACTTGTACTTCAATTTTTTAAAACTGTACTTGCAGGTTATATAATATTAATAATATAATAAAAGACCTCTTAAGTGTACTTAAAGATACAGTTCACCCATTTACTCACCTCCACTTGTTCCAAACCTGTATGAGTCTTTTTTCTGTTGAACACAAAAGAAGATATTTTGAAGAATGTTGGTCACAGTTGATGCTACTATGGAAGTCAATGGCTACCGTCAACTGTTTGGCAACTTGAGGGTAAATAAAATGATGTCAGAATTGTTTTTGGGGTGAACTGCCCCTTTAAGAACACTTATAAACAGGGCACTTTGTAATAATGTCAAATTAAAAGTTTTACTTTAAAGTAGATTTTGTGTTATTCAATATTGCGTTTAAAGTTAATACATTTTAAATGTACTAAATTGCAACTTCATCCTTACAAAAGTGTAATTGCAGATATATTTAAATGCATGACATACAAGTTTCTGTAGAAATTACAAAGTATTTTTTAGGTTATTATAAATGCTTGTCAGTACATTCAGCAGTGCACGTTAACCATATTTCAAAGACAATAGAAGTAATTATGAAATGACATATATAGATGCACTTAAGTCTTATTAAGTGGGTCAAAAAGCACTCTTAAGTTCAACACTTACGTATTTTCTTTGCATTCAACATTACATTTAGTTTGCACTTTAAAATATTTTATTTCCATAATAAGTACTCTTTTTAAAAGTATGCTAAAGTGTACGTCTTTTTCACAAGTGTGGTGTCAATACTTTCTTTAACTATTTCATCTTTGACCTCTGTATTTCTCTTTCTCTCACTCTTTTCATATTCTTATGTAAGCCAAAGACATCTGTACTCAAGTCTTCCAGCTGCTGAGTATTATGATTTGTCGTCTGAATACCTCCTGCTCTATTCTTGGGAAGGTTATGTTCTTGAAAAGCCAACTTGGAAGAAAAAAAAAATTCTGGGACCAACACTGCAGCAAACCCTAAATATCAATTGTATTGAATTTTGGAAGTAGGCTAGCAAATGATTAACTGTCATCATTATTGCTGATTGTTAAAATGCTCTATTTTGTGTTTTTAATGAACAACTTTAGATGCCAAAGAATGCTTCTGTTTAAATCCTTATGCATTGTGTTATGAAACAGGGTTGTTTGCATGAAGTGGTAATGATACTACAATTACTCTAATTGCATGTGATCGCTATACTCCCAGAAGGACGAGACGAGAAAATGATGTTCATGTGTGTCAGTTCTGTTTGCCAATCATTTGACGAGTTGTCTTCTGTGGATCAGAGGGTCATATGTCAGCCATTAGTCTTCCACGCTTCAGGTGCCACAGTAATCGCTGTGCCTCCCAATAGCACCCATCACCTTTGATTAATGTTATGAGACTCACTCTACATTTCATTGTTTTATTGGCTTCTACTCATTATTTTTAAAGATTATTTAGCCTTTAGGGATGTAAATAATGTGTAAATCTCAGTCTCAGGTCATATTGGATGCTATATGATCTAAGTTAATGTAGAGAAACACAGTTGTCCAGAAACACAGTTTTATCTGGGTTCAAATACAAGCTGAAAGCTTATTTAGATTTAAGGCTAATGAGAATGATACACCAAGGCCTGTTAAGATCCTATGGACAGATGGAAAGTCGTAGAACAGATTTGCTCTAGAACCTCATCAGTCTGACAGAATAGTACAGATTTGCTATATTCACTGTGTGATGCTGCTTTTATACAACAGTTCAATAAACAATAAGTTCATATTGAGTAACTTGCATTTCAGACACAATAAATTGCCAGCTACTTTGTGTTTTTGCTTTCCCAAGGAAAATAGTTTCAAACAAAGTCAAAGCATAATGAATTGTTGTGCATCTCTGAGCATTAGTGGTGCTTTGTTCGTGAATTAATCAGTGCTTTTGAACAAATCGGTTGAGTGAATGATTCAATGACTCACTCATACAGGCAGGCAGTCACTTGTTTTGTTCATGAATGAATCAGTGCTTTTGACCAAATGATTCAGTGACTCACTCATTCAGGAATTCACTTGTTTTGTTCATGAATGAATCAGTGCTTTTGACCAAATGATTCAGTGACTCACTCATTCAGGAATTCACTTGTTTTGTTCATGAATGAATCAGTGTTTTTGAGTAAATCGGTTCAGTGAATGATTCAAAGACTTACTCATACAGGCATTTACTTATTTTGTTAATGAATAAATCAGTGTTTTTGACCAAATCAGCTGAGTGAATAATTCAGTGGCTCACTCATACAGACATTCACTTGTTTTGTTCATGAATGAACCAGTGTTTTTTGAACAAAGTGGTTGAGTGAATGATCGGTGACTGATGCGGTGACTCACTTATAAAGACAGGCTGCATCTGAATATGCATAATTCCCTGCTATTTAGTAGACAAAAACGGTATGTGAAAAGAGCAGAACGTCTGAATTTACAGTATTCATAAAACAGTAGCTAAAAAGTACCCAGATGACCCAGATGTGAGGCCATGGGTCCATGGGAGAGGATAAATATGACGAAAGTTGTACATCCAGATTACATTCACACTACACACATGCATACTATGTACTACATACATTTTTTAACAGTCGCAAAGTACTTATTTAAAAGAAGTATGTGCTCAGAGAATATGCCATTTCAGAGAGCAGCCAGCCAGTGTTTTGGAACAAATCGGTTGAGTGAATGATTCAATGACTTCAAAGACATTCACTTGTTTTTGCTCATGAATGAATCGGTGCTTTTGAACAAATTGGATGAAGTGAATGTTTCAGTGATTTGTGGCCATCTAGTGGTTCATTGATGTAACTACTTAATTTCTGTCAAAATTGTGTTTTTATGTACTTATGAATTAAAAAAAGGTTTTATATCTCACATATCTGTACATCTGATATTCCCTGTTGAATACAAAGATCTCAATGTTTATATGTTTTGTCATTATTTGGTCCACTGCTTATTTATCAATAATATAATTTAAGATTAACGCTGTTAATCTGAGTGTGAGCAGCTGGATCGTAACCCTGATGTTGTCTGTTTCTCTACAGATAGTGTCGAGGATGAGCTGGAGCTGTCTGCTGTACGCCATCGACCAGAAGCTTTGGAGCAGCTGGAGGCTCAAACGCGTTTCTCACGCAAAGAGCTTCAAATCCTCTATCGGGGCTTTAAGAATGTGAGTTAATGCTTCTGACTTCAAAAACAGAGTTAGATTTTTTTTTTTGCATTGGTTTGATGTGGAACATGCCAAACTTTGCAGAAAAACTATCACGCTTGCTACAATAATCAGGTCAGGAAAGGTCTCTAGAGTGTCCCTGAGGCATAAATGTCCTTTCTCACCTCTGGTGCACAATGTAATGAGACAACACCGAATTAACTCGACCCAAATTGTCAGGTGACAAGCGTGAGATTTTTCATGAAATCGTTTGAGTGAATGATTCAATGACTGACTCGTACAGACATTCACTTTTTTGTTCATGAATGAATCAGTGTTTTTGAGTAAATCGGTTCAGTGAATGATTCAAGGACTTACTCATACAGGCATTTACTTATTTTGTTAATGAATAAATCAGTGTTTTTGACCAAATCAGTTGAGTGAATAATTCAATGGCTCACTCATACAGACATTCACTTGTTTTGTTCATGAATGAATCAGTGTTTTTTGAACAAAGTGGTTGAGTGAATGATCGGTGACTGATGCGGTGACTCACTTATAAAGACAGGCTGCATCTGAATATGCATAATTCCCTGCTATTTAGTAGACAAAAACGGTATGTGAAAAGAGCAGAACGTCTGAATTTACAGTATTCATAAAACAGTAGCTAAAAAGTACCCAGATGACCCAGATGTGAGGCCATGGGTCCATGGGAGAGGATAAATATGACGAAAGTTGTACATCCAGATTACATTCACACTACACACATGCATACTATGTACTACATACATTTTTTAACAGTCGCAAAGTACTTATTTAAAAGAAGTATGTGCTCAGAGAATATGCCATTTCAGAGAGCAGCCAGCCAGTGTTTTGGAACAAATCGGTTGAGTGAATGATTCAATGACTTCAAAGACATTCACTTGTTTTTGCTCATGAATGAATCGGTGCTTTTGAACAAATTGGATGAAGTGAATGTTTCAGTGATTTGTGGCCATCTAGTGGTTCATTGATGTAACTGCTTAATTTCTGTCAAAATTGTGTTTTTATGTACTTATGAATTAAAAAAAGGTTTTATATCTCACATATCTGTACATCTGATATTCCCTGTTGAATACAAAGATCTCAATGTTTATATGTTTTGTCATTATTTGGTCCACTGCTTATTTATCAATAATATAATTTAAGATTAACGCTGTTAATCTGAGTGTGAGCAGCTGGATCGTAACCCTGATGTTGTGTGTTTCTCTACAGATAGTGTCGAGGATGAGCTGGAGCTGTCTGCTGTACGCCATCGACCAGAAGCTTTGGAGCAGCTGGAGGCTCAAACGCGTTTCTCACGCAAAGAGCTTCAAATCCTCTATCGGGGCTTTAAGAATGTGAGTTAATGCTTCTGACTTCAAAAACAGAGTTAGATTTTTTTTTTTGCATTGGTTTGATGTGGAACATGCCAAACTTTGCAGAAAAACTATCACGCTTGCTACAATAATCAGGTCAGGAAAGGTCTCTAGAGTGTCCCTGAGGCATAAATGTCCTTTCTCACCTCTGGTGCACAATGTAATGAGACAACACCGAATTAACTCGACCCAAATTGTCAGGTGACAAGCGTGAGAGTGGCACAATGGTCCTTTATTATCACACTCTCAAGGGGAGATATCAGAAGACTGTAATCCTTCCTTCAGACCACACACAAACACACACACACACACACCGCTGGCAGGTGATGACTGCACTGAGGTTTTCTGGCACCCTCAATACTGTCTTATTCATTTTCCCATGAGGTGTCCCAGATACTGTAAATGTTAAATCTGTTTTCTTTTTTATTATTTCACTTTTAATATCACCTGCCATTTCTGATTATTTTGCTTCTTGGATTTTCTTGGATTTTTGACTATCAAGTTCTAAAATCCTTCAAAAGAGATTTAATTAGTAAATCATTGTCAAGGGTGCTGTCCCAAATGCTGCCCTAAACCCTCATGTTCCTCCTCTGACTGCACACTTGATGATGTAGTTGTAGGGCTGAGCAAAAGGGCACATCGAGGGCATGTGTGCTTTCTTCTAAAACCTCAATTATTGAACTGGCCACCCTATGGTCTTGTGTAGTAAATATTACTTTTGTTTGTTCATGTATTTATTGGAAAATAGACAGACAGACAGACAGTACTGCTTTTATTACTCCTCAGTTCTCACCATTGCTTTTGTTTTACCAGACAGACAAATATTAAACACTGACTTGACTATAGTTACTGTTAAACCTGTACCTATAAATTCTAGATCTTTATATCTTTGCTCATTATGTAAAAAAAATAAAATAAATCTAAAACACTGAGGCAGATATCATGCATTTATACATTACGATTCAAAATGTTGTGGTCCGTAGGATCTTTTTTTAGAAGAAATTGATACTTTTATTCAGCAAGGATGCGTTAAATTGATCAAAAATTGCAGTAAAGAGGACATGTTTAAAAAGATTTCTATTTCAAATAAATGCTGTTATTTTCAAATTTCTATTCATCACAGAATCCTGAAAAACGTTGCACCGTTTCAACAAAAATATTAAGCAACACAACTGTTTTCATTGATAATAAGAAATGTTTCATCATATTAGCAAATCATCGTATTAGAATGATTTCTGAAGGATCTAAGTAATTACTGTTGAAAATTCTGCTTTGCCATCACAGGAATAAAATACATTTTATAGTATTAAAATAGAAATTAGTTATTTTAAATAGTAATAATATTTTACAATATTACAGTTTTTACTGTATTTTTGATCAAATAAATGCAGCTTTGATAAGCACAAGAGACTTCTTTCAAAAACATTAACAACATTTTTTTTAATTGATTTCCATAATATGGAAAAATGCTACAGAAGACAATGACTACTGTCAATTGTTTGGTTACCAGCATTTTTTCAGAATATCTTCTTTTTGTGTTCAACAGAACACTGAAAAAAATGTTTCATTCATCCAATTAAAAAAATTTAGGGTAATGATTCACATCTATATTTTTTAACTTGAGCCAATGAAAAATAAATAACTTGCCCTTAGGGCAAGCCCTTTTTTAAAATTGGATGAATGAAACATTTTTTTCAGTGAAGAAAGAAACCCTTACAGGTTTGAAACAACTTGAGGATGAAAAAAATGACGACAGAATTTTAATTTCTGAACTTTCTCTTTATTTATTTATGTTTTTACTGATCAGGATTTGACAAGGCATTCATGTAAATAAACAACTATTATGTTTTTAAATGGTAGTTTTTCTTTTCTTTTCTTTTTTTTCTCTTATCACACCAAGGGCACCAGAACTGCTGCCTCAAAAAATTACAAAGAAATAAATAAAAATAAGTGCATTGTTCTTGATCAGACAGAAATTCAAAACCAAATGTGACCCTGGAGCACAAAACCAGTCTTAAGTCGCTGGGGTATATTTGTAGCAATAGCCAAAAATACATTGTATGGGTCTAAATTATTGATTTTTCTTTTATGCTAAAACTAATTTTTGATTAGTAATATGCATTGCTAAGAACTTCATTTGGACAACTTTAAAGGCGATTTTCTCAATATTTTGATTTTTTGCACCCTCAGATTCCAGATTTTCAAATAGTTGTATCTCGGCCAAATATTGTCCTATCCTAACAAACCATACATCAATGGAAAGCGTATTTATTCAACTTTCAGATGATGTATAAATCTCAATTTCAAAAAATTGACCCTTATGACTGGTTTTGTGGTCCAGGGTCACAAATAGTGCTGAGAGAAGTTTGTAGATGTTTGTATGGGAGAAATCGACCTTGTAGATCAGTGGAAGTCATGCACAATAATCTGTTCATAGTGGATTTTACAGATGAGAAGATTTAATTTTATGAGAGATGGCGGTCATATTTTTCTTCTTACTAGGTTAATTACACTCCACAAATGATCTGGGCCTAAATTAAACTTGATTATCTGCAAAGTAGCTGAAAAAGAAAAATTAACTGAATCTGCTACTAACAGGGTATTTCAGAATCATTTCGGCTTCATTCAGACTTTTCCTTTGTGTTATTTCAGTTGTATTATCCCATGACTCCTATGAATTAGTGGTAAGCTAAAACCAAAATATGCCAGATATTCTGTCCTTAATCCTCTGTGTGCCGTCAGTGAATGATCATGCTTCAGTAAGCTGAAAAAATCTTTTAATTACAGTCTGTGTATCTTAACGCTGTTAATGAACCCTGCAATGCTCCTGGAGTTTTGATAATGTGGAGAAGACTTTGGCAGTGATGGTTTCTGATGAAAGCGGTGTGTCTCTTAAAAGGTAATTACACGGGGTCTCTCTCACGCTGCCTGCACAAGAGACAGCGGATGACAGTAACACAAAACAATCCCTTTTAATTAACCAGAGCTCACTGTAACACCACAGAACTTTCTCAGACACAGCCTTTTTATGTCAAAGATGTGAAGTGCTGGATTAGACAAAACAACTTACTGTAGGGCTTCTTTCATGTAGCAGAGCCCAAGGTAATTGGTGGTGCAGAGGACACATTTCAGACTGGTTTTGTTGTTATTTATAAAAATTCAGGATGCAGAATAGCAGGTGAATCGCCATTCAAACATGCATATCATGACAGTGTACAGTGAGTCTTTGGAAATGTTATCTTGAAGGAATAGTCCACCCAAAAAATGAAAAATTGCTGAAAATGTACTCACCATCAAGCCATCCAAGATGTAAATGAGTTTGTTTCTTGATCTAAAATGTAGCATTGCATCTCTTGCTCACCAGTGGATCCTCTGCAGTGAATGGGTGCCGTCAGAATGAGAGTCCAAACAGCTGATAAAAACATCACAATAATCCACAAGTAATCCACACCACTCCAGACCATCAGTTAATGTCTGTATACCGTGTACCGGATATAATGTTATACTGTATACCGAAGACATATGCCCTGACTGAATTCAGGCCGGCAGATTCAAACTGTTTTCTGAGAGTGTAACAGACAGTTGTACAGTGTATTTTATTGAAGAATGTAAAAGCATGATCTAAGAGTAAATCCCTCCTGTGCTGTGCTTGTATCAAAAACGGCTCGGTTTTCCCAGCACCTCTCAGTCCTCCTCCTCTAGTTGCTCGATACACAGCAAAGGGAATACTGTAATGAGGTTTCATATCTGGCTCTGAACGCCAGAGGCTGGTTTGTGATTATTTGATTTTCATGTCGTTTTATTGCTCAGAGTTTTGCCATGTACTGGTACATGTGGCCACTTTATAAAAGTCAATTATTTTGCCCTGCAGACGGACGCTTCATTACGTCAGGTCTAAACATGCAATGTGTTTTCCAAAAAGTTCTTAACAGATTAGTTTAAAGATCAGTCTTTTATTATTTCCACAGTCATGAAAAACTTGAAAATATCAGGCCATTTTCAAAATGTGGCTTTCCAGGCCTGAAAAAGTCAGGGAAATGAATCCCATCTTAGAAGAGACAGAGAAAAGTTATGGAAATTTTCATAGTGAAAATACATTTCATGCATGGTCATGCACAGCTTTAAAAAAAAAAAAACCTTAAAAGTTCTTCATGAGTGCAAATGTATTTTACAAATCCCTATCAAGTGATCACAAATGACTGCAAAAATCACGGAAATTCACGTCAAAATTGGCATCACTGATGTGATGTGACACGTTTTAGGGCAAGTTTGAATAAAATTTGGGTTCTAGATGGTCAGACTTAAGTTGCAGCCTTTTCTTCACATAAAGCTACCATGTTGCTTCAGAAAACTTAAAATATAGTCTAATATACTGTAGATTTTATATATGTCTGTAGAATTTATCTAATTTATATTTATAAAAAAATCAAAATTATATTTTGATGAACTTCCTTTATCTTATTCTATCTATCTATCTATCTATCTATCTATCTATCTATCTATCTGTCTGTCTGTCTGTCTGTCTGTCTATCTATCTATCATCTATCTGTCTGTCTGTCTGTCTGTCTGTCTATCTATCTATCATCTATCTGTCTGTCTGTCTGTCTATGTCTGTCTGTCTGTCTGTCTGTCTGTCTATCTATCTATCTATCTATCTGTCTGTCTGTCTGTCTGTCTGTCTATCTATACAGCATACACACACACACATACAAAAGTAGATGATTTAGATTATTTAGTCACTTCTGGTCACAGAAAATAAAATAATGAAATCTCTCTTGGGTATGTAAACTAAAGTTGTCTAAACAATTGTCTGCACTTATACCTTGCTTGATAAAGTAACACTGTAAAAGCATGCTTCATAATTGCTGCAATTGCCAAACCATTTATGATAAAGCAACAGCAATCAACTTCCTATTGTGTAATCTAATCCAATTCCTGGGGTCCAAATGACACTGTTCCAGCTATTATAATTTTGGATTGTTCCATTTGTTAAGATCCTTCATATGACATACAGAGTCATGTGTTTATCATTGCTGGAGTGCAGTATGGACAGATTTCTTTCATTATACGATCTATGGACGCGCAAAATATTTGTATGTTTTTAAATAAGATATCATGCACAAGTTACAGACAGTTAATGATGCTAAGAATAAGGCATAAACATCAGAATGGACTTTATTTTGTGCTGTGGGTGTGGGATGTTTGGTCTTCATCATATAAAATGGCACCTCTATCACTCACTTTAAATTGCAACCGGAAGGATGAATACATGCCCTCAAATTAAATATTAAAGCTACTTTGCTGCTACTCTACTTATCTGTTTTTCCATATAAAGCCGAATGTTAACCAGCCGTCAGAATCTAATATTGTGCTTTGCATAAACTAGTTAAAGAACATCACAGTTCTCAGTTCTTTTGGTACAAACACGTGAATTAAAATAATACATCTAACAGAAAGTGGTGGCATCTTCTACGAGACAACGACATTAATTTATTTTATTGCTTTTATGTCTGTCGTCAAGGGAGATGCATTGTTAAAAATGTGATTTGACTTTATTTTAGCTGGTTTATCTGTCAGACTATCACTGCTTTAGTGATATTTAAATAAAAGCAATAATGTGCATCTGTTATATCTGGTACAATTTCAAAAATTTATAAAATACGCTAGTTTATTATTTATCTTCACCAGACATCTTGCAACTCCCTTAACAAGAATAAGAAAGAAACTGCATTGCTGGTGTTGTTTGTGAGACAACAGTCGTCCTCTCATAATTCATTCTCAGGCTTGAAAGGATCATTTCTGAAGAGCCGCTCATAAATGTGTTTACTAAACCAAAACGTCTGAGATCGTTTCATGAGACAAGCATGACAGCTTAAACTATTGGTCATCTTGAGGAGGTCGATCTGCTTTTCAAAGCGTCATTTTTAGTGCAAGTCATCACGTAAAATCGAATGCAAATTCAAGCATTAAGCGTGCACATTCCTCACAATTTATTAGTGATACAACATGCTAGAGAAATCATATATGAGGTCTACCATTACCTAGTGATGAGTGATACTAGAGCAAAGAATTTTGATCTTGCAACACTGGAAAAAAATGTAAAAGTCTGACAAGCACTTGCAATCTCTCTGAGCTCGTTTATTTGAAATGAAGGAGAGTCATATGAGATTATGTTCAATGCTGCAAATGCACTTCTAGCGCAATGTGTTTGCCTGCTGCTTCACATTTTCATTTATGATGCACATTAGAATGAGAATGGACAATGGATAATGTGTTTATTGCTCAGCAATGGTGCCATTTCCTATTTGGATGTTCATGCACATAATGGTTCTCTTGGTGAAATCACTCCTCAATAACATCTCAATAACATCTCAGTGATGGAAATGTCTGTATCTGTGTTTTTCAGGAATGCCCCAGTGGTGTGGTCAATGAAGACACATTTAAGGAAATTTACTCTCAGTTTTTCCCACAGGGAGGTGAGTGGATTTAAAGTCATATATTCTCCTTTACAGTTATACTGTATAGCATTTTTAATACAACCTGTTCTGACCCTTTATAATATTTTGTTGGTGTAAGCTGTTGTAGTCAGGTTGATTCAGTCTTATTAAACAATATTTTAGACTTGAATAAGCCAGTTAATTTAAATCTTACCATTTTAGGTTACCTGACAAAACATACTTTTATTATTATTGTTATTTAACAAAACATACTGTATTATTGCAGTTTTTGTTTTTGCAAAACAGGCTTATTGGAAAAACTTGCTTGTGGTGACTAAAAGTGTTTTCAGTAATATAGTATAATTTTCTGCCACGTAAGAAAAAAGTCCTGCATAATCATAACATAAAAAGTTGAATTTATCACATAAAAAGTCAAAATTGTGAGATACTAAGTCATGATGAGATAAAGATGATTTGAAAGATGACACAAAAGTCAAAATTGCAAATATTTATGACAAAAAAAAAAAAATTTCATGTTATAATTTCCACTATCTCATAATTTTGAGTATTATCTTACAATTATGTTTTAGTATCTCGTAATTTTATCTTTCATAATTATGATTCACCAAAACATTTTTCTTTTGTGGTGGAATTGGGCTTCCATAATTGAAAACTGTGAAAAACTAAAAAGCCATAACGACGACACAAAAGTCAAAATTAAAATACTGATACAATTATGAAAAAAAAATCTTCTTTTTATGTTATCGTTTCTACTTAGTATCTCATAATTTTGACTTTCATAGTAAAAACTGTGAAGAACCGAAAAGTCATAATGGTGACCTGGAAGTCAAAATTAGGAGATATATAAAAATTATCACAAAAACGTATTCTGTCATCATTTTGACTTTCTCATAATATTGACTTTTTATCTCATAATTATGAATTAGGCCTAATTTTTATCTCATATTTATGACTCTGTCGTGACTATGACTTACCAAAGCATGATTTTGTGTCTTTAACCCAGAAACTGTATAACATCAAATAGAAATGGAACATGAATTTATAGAACTAAAAAAGCCCCAGAGGAAAGTTTTCCTCATCATTTCAGCACACCAACACACACACACACACACACACCACTGATCTGAATGGAGGTCTCCCTGTGGAAATGGCTGTTGTAGTGGTTCTCTTCTCTTTTGAGTCACATGATTTGTGCTACTGCAAAGTCAAAGGAGTACTTTTATAATTATGGGTTTGAGCTTCTCTACATCATACATGCATCCCCTTTGTTGTTGAACAGAATATGCTATGAAATGAGGTAATGACATTGCTGTGATTGAAGCTGAGAAGTTTCCTGTTTTATTTTTCAGATGCATCAACGTATGCACATTTTCTGTTCAATGCATTCGACACAGATCACAATGGCTCTATCAGTTTTGAGGTAAGTAATAATACTAACAGAGCATTCTGAAGATGATCACTCTCACACATGCATGACATAGTAGTGAACCTAATATTATTGTGTTGACACTGAATTGCAGTTTGATATTTGGATGTGGACTCTTGTGCATGTGCTAATTCTTTAAAGGTATAATGCATGCAGTTTTAACTGAAAAACTAATGGGAAAACATATAAAATAGATTGAAATAAAATTTGAAATAATATATATCATAGATAAATAAACTAGTCATATGACATAGGAATTATGACATAGTCATAAATATGAGATACTCAGTCAAATTTTAAAAGTATGAGATAAAAATTCATAATTATTACACAAAAGTTGAAATTATGAGATACGAATTCATAATTGACAAAAACTGACTTTTTATTGCATAATTTCAACTATCTCATTGTTTCAACATTTTATCTCATAATCAAGTCATAATTATGAGATAGAAAGTCATAATTGTGACACAAAAGTCACAATTCTGGGATAGTGTGTTAAATTATGAGATACTAATTAGAAATGATGACAAAATGTAAACATTTTTATGTCATAATTTTGAATTAGTATCTCATAATTTTGACTTTTTATTTCCATAATTATGACTTACCAAAGCATTATTTTTTCTTATGTGGCAGAAATGGGATTTTATAAAAACTGAATGAATGAACGAAAGACCTTAAAATACTCCCATTTCCCATTTATTTTACCTTAAAATCCTTAACCGCCATTGAATAAATGTCTTGACTGACAGCATATTGTGCAATATGTGTTTTACAGAGACATTAGGAAATATTTTAACTACCACTGAACCTTCAATTTGCACACAACAAGGATTTCATTCTTTGGCAATAAACAAGCATGGTCCCCAGCGATACAGTAATTAAACTAAACGAGAATATCCTCGTCTTGTTTTTAATAACAAAGTTTGACTTGTCCTGTAGCCATTTAGCTCCCGCTAAGGCTTATTTTGTCATATCTGGTAATTAAAAACCTTGAGTGCTCATGTGAAAAGTTTGAAAGAATTCCTCTCATCATTTGGAAAATGGTTATTAAAGACATTTATTTCCATTCACGTATGCACTTTGCATGTATACTGGATTAGTGAGATCCATAACACAACCATTAAAATACCTTGAGGTATCATATCATCATGTGAAATGAAGCAGTTTGGTTAGCAGAATAATCATCATTTATGTTCTAGCTGTAAATTACAGATTTATGTTGATATGCAATGATATTCTGTTTGCTCTGACTGATTTCTCAATGTCTTTCATTGCATTACAGGATTTTGTGATGGGTCTCTCCATTCTCTTACGAGGCAGCGTTCAGGAGAAGCTTAACTGGGCATTTAACCTGTATGATATTAATAAAGATGGATATATAACAAAAGAGGTAATACTTGAAGATTATGAGTAACACTTTATAATAATGAACACTGCATAACATGAATTCATTGTATATGTGTCATGAACTAACAATGAACAATGAACTTTTATTATTCTAGTTTAGTGTTAATTTCCATATTAGCTAATACAGTTTTAACTTTTCAAGTTAATAATGGACAATGGTATAGTCATAATTTAACAGTTGAAAAATATGAAAAGTCGAAATTGGCAAAAAGTCAAAATTATGAGATACTAAGTCAAAGATTATGACAAAACTTTGACTTTCTATGTCATAATTTCAACGTTTTATCTCATTATTATGACTTAAATGATGAAAAGTAAAAAATATCAGATACTAAGTCACAAAGTAGTCACAAATATGAGACACAAAGTAGAAATTGAGATATAAAGTCATAATTATGACACAAAAGTAAAAAAGTCAAGGAATAAATGTCCTTAAAATTAAATGTCTTAATTACAACTTTTTAAAATTTCTAGATACAGTGAGCTAATACAGTTTTAACTTTTCAAGTTAAAAATAGACAATAGTAATACTATATTAATAAATGTGGAAAAAATGTTTTTCATCGTCAGTTCATGATACCAAATGCATTAATGAATGTTAACATATTAAACCTTATTGTAAAGTCTTGCCAGAAAATCACTTACGTGACAAGCGATCATATAAAACACTAACATGCCTGTCTATTGTTTGTGTTTTACAGGAAATGTTAGATATCATAAAGTCCATCTATGACATGATGGGGAAATGCACATATCCCATACTTAAAGAGGAAACTCCACGACAGCATGTGGAGATCTTTTTCCAGGTGAGATTGGCATCTAATTTATTTTGTAATGATTGTTCTTCATATAGAAAATATTTGCTAGATAGGACACTGGTAAAGCAAGTACACTTCCAGAATGTTCCCATCTATGTCATATTATGTATCAACAGGACCCTAGATCTAGTTTCTACTGATGCTGTTATAGAGGTTGTCTTGATGTAATTCTAAGCAAGAAAAATGTCTAAAGCTACAGTAAATAGAGCGACCTTAAATGAACACACTGACCTCGTTTGTGTCATAAATATGAGATTAAAAGTCAAAATGATCGTACATTTTAGTCAAAGGAGTTGAAAATGAGATACAAAGGACTAATTATGAGATAAAAGTTGAAATTATGAGATACTAATTATGACAAAAATTTTGACACGTTGTCATAATTTTGACTTTTAATGTCATCATTTCAACTTTTTATCTCATTGTGACTGAGCATCTCATAATTTGGATTTTAACTCATATTTATGACTTTCAATGTCATAATTTACCAACACATCATTTTTCCTCTTATATGGCGGAAATGGGCTTCCATAAAAAAGTGCATAAAAAAGCAAATCCATTTCCAGAATGTTCCCATCTATGCCATGTTATATATCACCCGGATCCTACCGTTCTAGTTTTTGCTGATGTTATTATAGTGATTGTCTAGATGTACTTCTAAGCAAGAAAAATGTCTAAAGCACATTGACCTTTGGAGCCTTTTTGTGTCTTGACAAAAAATGGATAAACCAAGTCATATTGTCACAAATATGAGAAAAAGTTATTAAACAGTAAAAAAGAATTGTAAATTTTAGTCTAAGGATTTATAAACGGTATGTTTACTAATTATGAGATAAAAGTTTTATTTATGAGATACTAAGTCATTATGACATAAAATGTTGATTTTTGTCATCATTTTGACTTTTTATCCCATAATTATGACTTAGCATCTCATAATTCTCATATACACATTTTATCTTATATTTATGAATTTTAATGTCATAATTATCATTTACCAAAGCATGATTTTTTTCCCTTATGTGATGGAAATGGGCTTCCATAAAAGGGTGATTAAAAATTTTGAAAAAAGGAATGATCGCCAGACACAGCACTTTGGTTCATTGGTAAAGCAATGGTCCTACAGATCATGTTATCATGTAGATTGTCTAAATGTAATTCTAAGCAAGAAAAATGTCTAAAGCTAAATGAATAGAGCAACCTCAAATGAACAAACTGACCTTTTGACCCCTTTTGTGTCCTGACAGAAAATGGACAAAAACAGGGATGGAGTGGTCACTATAGATGAATTTATAGACTGCTGTCAAAACGTAGGTCTATTTTTGTTCTGAATGTGATGTTCTGCATGAATGTCTTTCTTGAAAACATTTACTATATGATTTTATTGAGTAGAGCGCTTAGAGAGAAAAGCTCCTTACATAATGTTCATTGAGCCTGCAGCAGAATGTCGTCTTGAAGACAGTCCATTAGTCTTCACAGCTGAGGTGTTATTAAAGTGTTCACCTGTGTCTGTTTGTTCCCTACAGGACGAGAACATCATGAGATCAATGCAGCTTTTTGAGAACGTCATTTAACATCTGAATGGACTCTGTTGGCGGGCCAGCTCACATAACCACCTTTATACTCCACAAACCCGACGTCCTCGATGATACAGTACACGTCTGATTACTAGCAGTGCTTTACCCATAAACCAAAATTAACAGCATTTTGAATATCAAAGAAAAATTATTTTTTACATTTTTTGTCATATACTTGTAAAAAAATGTATACCTTTATTTAAAGTATAGTCTGTTAATCATCTATTTCTCCAAATTTTTGAAATAACTAGAAGCCATTGTACATCTTAAAGTAACATTTCATACATTGGCCCTTAAACACAAACAGAATGAATTTCTGTGCATAAATCCATTCTTAGATTGAAACAATTTACAAGGAATATTTGACATACAATTTACTTAACTCCTTAATTAAAGGAATAGTTCACCCAAAAATGATCATTTGCTGAAAATTTACTCAAACTCAGGCCATCCAAGATATAGTGCTTGTTTCTTTATGGGATCAGATTTGGAGAAATGTAGCCTTACGTCACTTGCTCACCAATGGATCCTCTGCAGTGAATGGGTGCCTTCAGAATGAGAGTCCAAATGTAACGGAGGCCAGGGGGTAGATGCCGTCCACCTCCCATGCCGGAGACCCGGGTTCGAGACCCACTAGGAACAAGAACGAGGTGTGGCGGTGAGGACCCGGGAGCGAGGGGTTACATTGGTGCCGTGACCCGGATGGGATTGAGGTTTTAGGGGGTGAGTGTAACCAGGCCAGCGAGTAGGTGCTGTGCAGGTAAATCTCACTCCCCTGATCTCAAGAGACGCACTAGCGACTGATGCTAGTGGCTGCAGTCTTTAGCCTCCTTGTTAGTGCGTCCGCCTCCCATGCCGGAGACCCGGGTTCAAGACCCACTCGGAACAAGAACGAGGTGTGGCGGTGAGGACCCGGGAGAGAGGGGTTACACAAACAGCTGATAAAAACATCACAATAAACCACAAGTAATCCACACCGCTCCAGTCCATCAGTTAATGTATTGTGAAATAAAAAGCTGCGTGTTTGTAAAAAGCAAATGCATCATTAAGGCATTTTAACTTTAAACTGTTGCTTATGGCCAAAATACAAGTCCATAATCCATAATAATGCTTCCTCCAGCTAAAAGGTCTATCCCCTGTTGTCCTTATTTCTTTAGAGCTGATTTGGACTGTTTTCACTTGTAAACAGTGCTTGATCTGTGCAGATTTCTAAGAATATTATGGATAGAGGATGTGAATTTTGACCAGAAGCAACAGTTTGAAGTTAAAAACGTCTTAATGATGGTGATATAAACATGCAGCTTTTTGCTTCACAAGATGTTAACTGATGGACTGGAGTGGTGTGGATTACTTGTGAATTATTGTGATGTTTTTATCAGCTGTTTGGACTCTCATTCTGACGGCACCCATTCACTGCAGAGGATCCATTGGTGAGCAAGTGATGTAACGCTAAATTTTTTAAACTCTATACCATTTATCCAAATCTATTCCTTTAAGTTAGTAATGTGTCACACACAGTATGACAATAAAAATTAAACGCATAACACAAATTCATGGTATATTAACTGTTTCCGTTTTTAAGCACAATCAGTAATAAATCATACTTCTTTCATTAAATAAGTACAAACCTGTGACTCTGCAGCCTTTACATTTCTACAGAATCATTCCAGATTGTTCTTAACTACAAGTGGGTCCAGCCAAAACAGGTGGAAAGTCAAATAAAGATTAAGATGTTGTATGTTTTCTAAAATATATTTAAAATAGATCTTTACCGTTTTTTATTTTTATTTATTTGTTCAGAATCATTTGCCAACTAGATCAAGATGCTATATTATAGATTTGGAAGCTACAGGTAGCAAATCAAAGCACACATGTTGTATTTGTCTTATTAAACACTGTTACAAAGTAATGCTGCTTATATGTATCTTAATTATAATGTCCTTGTGAAAAATGTCACGTTATGTTTACATGTTTCCAGCACTATATCACTGTTCTCAAAGCATCTTACCGTGTGGGTTTATTTATTGAGCTAACTAAGCACATCAGGCTGTTTGCAGCCGTACAGTATTTGTTTTCATTTGGAGGTTTTGACCATCAGTATTTGTGTGTCTGCAAAGGAGCTCTGTTAATGTCAAAGAAATGTCTTTCAAAGCATCAATTAAAAAGAGATAGTTCACCCGAAAATGAAAATTCTGTCATCATTCTCTTACCTTCCACTTGTTCCAAACCTGTATGAGTTTCTTTCTTCTGTTTAACACAAAAGAAGACATTTTGAAGAATGTTGGTAACCAAAAGTTTGACGGTAGCCACTGACTTACTATGGAAGTCCACTGTTTGGTTACCGTCATTCTTCAAAATATCTTCTTTTGTGCTCAACAGGAGAAAGAAACTCGTTCAGGTTTGGAACAAGTGAAAGCTAAGTAAATGATGACCGAATTTTTATTTTTGGGTGAACTGTCCCTTTAAACCTGTTTTATAGCGTCTAGAGTTGGTTTCAGGATGTTCCTGAACTTATTACCCCAAAAAATATGTGTTGCCTACGTTAATTAAAAAGCTATTTATTAAACATTAAACATTACTTTTACATATATAATATTTTGTAACTGTGGGCAATTCATAATATTAAAAAAAAAGTTATAAATGTAGTTCACCAAGAGTACAATGTTCTCTACAACATCGCTACCTAGTGGACATAAGTTACACACAACGTGGCTGACAACATGATTTATGGAGTAAAATTGGAGAATTAATTTCACACAATAACACACCGCAAAAATGAACGGTCCATATTTAGATCCAGCATTGTTCCCATATTCTGCCTTTAGAATCTTCCATTAAAATCATAATCATACCTGGCACAAATCTTAGATGAATCCCTGTGTGAAAATGTTTCCTTCATGCATTTCAGTTATGAGCAGCAGTTTCCACACCTGCAACAATAATTCTCAAAGCTTGTCACGTGAGCTTTCAAAGTCTTAACCTGTAGACCAGAGAACAAGAGAGAGATATATGAAGTAATCTGAATTTTATAACTGTGTATAAATATAAACAGGCCGGTCCAGACATCAGATTGAATAGAATTAAAACATCGATTTGTATTTCAAATGTGTGTGTAGATATTTCATATATTACAAACAAGCATTTTGTTGCATTCTCCCACTGTTTTATTTTCAAATCTTACTTTTTGCTTATTCCAATTATGCAAATAATGTTTATCTTCATGGGTTCTATATCATACTGTATCATGTCTGTCAGTTTACTTTTATTAGATTTGCAACCTGCATGCCTGATTCACATGAGCTTATCCAGGAGAAGAGTGCATGAGCTTTTCCCTACTTTAGAAATCAGTGCCTTTCTTTGTTAATGCTCATCTCAGACAACCTATACTTTCTGTCTGATTTGATTGTAATTGAGTTACAGTTTAGGACGTGATTCTTTTTTTAGTTCATTTCTGAAAACAATGCTATGTCATGCTGTATTTGAGGTTTCCCATTGACATTCTGACGATGCAACATTTCTTGTGAGTGGCGTGAGAGCCTGACAGCTGCATGTACAGAGAGTGAAGAAAGCTTTACGGTGTTAGTGAACGGCCTTTAGTGATGGGAAGAGCTGACAGGAGCAGATCTAGCGCTCTGTGGGGCTACCCCATGCTTCTCTGTGGAACTAGACGAGTGCATTTTGTAACATAGAGTCAATAAACCGCTCAGAATGTATGTTTCATGGCTCGTTCATTGAATGTCAGATCACTGGTAATTAAAATCACTGTGGCCACATACAGTGCACACTGTGGAGTTTCAGAAGTGACAATCACATTTAAATACAGGAGTCAAAAGACCTTTGTCAGATTAGACGCCATATTGAATTTAACACGGATTAAAAATGAGGCAAATCTGATACCTATGGAGGTTCGGTGGCATTGCAGTAAAGTGAAATAACATCATTACATTTTTGGATGTATTATATGAAGAATTATGTTTTTATGAAAAAATGCCAGAGAGTTGCAGTGTCCATAGAAATTTCGTCTTGCATCTTTACAATAGTGCAAACGGAATAAAGATCCTAGATCACGTACTTTTCACAAATCACAACATTTAAAACTGTTTTTTGGAGTTTGTCTACTTTTAAAGGTTTTTTTCCAGAAATATGTTTTGTCAGCTGAACAATCATTTTGGCGTCTTTAGCATTTGGTATCCAATATTCTTGACCAAAGTAATATTACAGCATCAAAGACTTCGGTGAGTTTAACTAAACCACCATGTTTTGTTTGTTTGGAATGCTGCTTTCGCAGACCATGCTCTTTACATATATAGATAGATAGATAGATAGATAGATAGATAGATAGAGCGCAAGATCTGGCAAACCTACACGTACCTCATTCACTGTGATTTCTTGCATACTGAAGAAACACAAATCTGATATATGGAAGGCGGATAGTGCCAAAAGTGGTTAAACAGAACGCATGAAATTTGACCATGTCAACAAGCACTGTTTGTCCATGTTAACGTGACAACACGCACAGCAGCAGTGTTAATTTAGTCAACGAAGACGACGACGAAAAGTACTCGTTAACGAAAAATGTTTCTGTGACTAAGATGAGACGTTGACGAGCTAAAACTAATATCTGATGATAAAAACTATGACAAAACTTATGGTGCGTCTTTGTTAACAAGACGAGACGGGACTATAATGTTATTTGAGGACTACCGGACAATCAAAATACATCCTATAGGCTACTGTCTTGTCCTTCAAAATGTGCATCCATGTCATTGGATTGAAATCAGATAAGTCTCAGTATGTAGTATCTCAGTATGTAGTATCTCAGTATCTAGTCTCAGTATGGCAGCCGCAGTGGATGGATAGGCTACCAAAATGCGAACTAGTGATCTGAAACAATGGCCTCAGCACCCGAAGGGGTAGGGATAAGGTGAAGCGCAAGATCTGGCAAACCTACACGTACCTCATTCACTGTGATTTCTTGCATACTGAAGAAACACAAATCTGATATATGGAAGGCGGATAGTGCCAAAAGTGGTTAAACAGAACGCATGAAATTTGACCATGTCAACAAGCACTGTTTGTCCATGTTAACGTGACAACACGCACAGCAGCAGTGTTAATTTAGTCAACGAAGACGACGACGAAAAGTACTCGTTAACGAAAAATGTTTCTGTGACTAAGATGAGACGTTGACGAGCTAAAACTAATATCTGATGATAAAAACTATGACAAAACTTATGGTGCGTCTTTGTTAACAAGACGAGACGGGACTATAATGTTATTTGAGGACTACCGGACAATCAAAATACATCCTATAGGCTACTGTCTTGTCCTTCAAAATGTGCATCCATGTCATTGGATTGACACTATTTTAAAATCTGAAGGTGCAAAAAAATCAAAATATTGAAAAAATCTTTCAAAGATTTTTGTTCTTAGCAATGCGTATTACTAATCAAAAATTAAGTTTTAATATATTCACAGTAGGTAGTTACGTAATTAATATATATATATATATATATATATAGTTGTATGATATGTTAATTATAAAGCACTAATATAAGTCATAAATAAAGTAATATATTATTCTAATACGGTTATTATATTTATTTTATAGGCATATATAATAGTTATCTGTATAAATTTTAAAACACTAACACTATAATGACAAGGTAATGTTTAATATATTATATTATATATTTATTACATTTTATATTATCATCTCACACATCATGGATCAGCATTTTCTATAATTTATTTTTATAATAAAAATTTATTTCTATAATAAATCTAATATGACTTACTATATTATTAGCATCAAACAGACAATATAATTCTTATTCTCAAGGATTAAAGATTAAACGGAAAAAAAGAAAAATGACTGCACAACCACCAGTTAGGTGGCGATATGAACCAAGCATGTAAACAGCCTTTGAACAGAAGAAGAAGAAAGAAGTAGTATGGCGCGCTTTTTCTTAGCGTTCATTTCCATAGTGACTCGTCGATTCATCGCTCTGTTGAGAATGTCTTGCGTGTTAACCAGGAACTTACGCTGGGTTGAATGAACTTATGACGCATTTTTGGAACCAACATACCTCAAGTAAGCAAGGTTTGTGTTAAAGGGGTCCTATTATGCTCTTTTGCAAAGTCTTGATTTTGTTTTGGGGGTGTACTAGAACATGCTCTCATACTTGGTGGTTCAAAAAACGCATTATTTTTCACATAATTTACATTATTACAATACCTTTTCTCCCCAGCCTGGCATAAACAGCTCGATTAGTTCCGGGTTAGATGAAGGCCTGCCTTCCGAAAAACAAAATATGTTGTGATTGGTTAGTTGTCCCAGTGTGTTGTGATTAGCGAACAGCTTGGATGGTGTTTCAGTACTGCCCCGCTGCCCCTTGCCAAAGCAGCAAGTTCCGTCTGCTCCGGTATAGTTAAGGATGGCATCAATATTGCCATATCAATTTGAGCCGGATTCCCCGAGAATATTGAATAAGAGGATCGCGCAGAACCTTTGCATGCATGGATATTGCAAGACATATTAGAGTGGTAACGTTATTGTTGTTGTTTTGTTTTTGTTTTGGCTAAATCACGTTTTAGATAGGATGTCAACAACCGCTTAAAAAGTATGGGAAACACTGTAGTCTCAAAATTGAAGTGTAAATTCTGCAGATGACATCATTGTCCAGTATTGTACTGTCAGCAGTTTATTATAAAAACATTTTCATAATTGTAGCATACATATTTACATACATAATTATTCAGGTGCATGTGTAATAACTTGCAAAAACTTGACGCTACAGCAGCACTTCTTCTTTGTCGTCTTGTCTGATGCACTCACTCAACCAAGCATTCTAACCACGACCTCGCCCCTCCCCACCCCCCAACCATTTGAATTTCCGTAGGCGGGATTTATTTTAATCATATTCTAATGGGCCGCTTTGTGACATCACAAAACCCAGAAAACAACGCTGTAGTCCAAACGAGCCGTTCGTTGTATTTCTTGAAAAGGGATGTTTTTAAACGAAATATCTCCCTTTGGAGTGGACTTTGAGATTTGTAACTTTGTAGATCTTTTTTTATGCCCAAACATACACACTACACAAATTCAAAAAGTGAAAAAGCATAATAGGACCCCTTTAATCCACCGAGAGTTCAGGGTTTAGCAGATGGTAAATTAACCTTGCTTTCTGGAATACACCCCAGAAGTTGCATTTGTTCATGAGTGATAATGCATTGGTACATTGTGTGTGATGTTACAACCTAGAATTAAACTTCTGGTCTCGTCTGACCAGAGTACACACAGTACACATCAGTAAAGCAATGCCACAGTAAACTAAAGAAAGGATTAATGTGGGTAAATCTAGAGGTAAATCTGCTTTAAAAAAGTATTACACATTCAAACGTGGCTAGAATGTGCGTGTTGAGACACACAATCAAATTTGTCATCCTAATGTGTTAAAACTGTGTGTCTTTACACATACTAAAGAAACAGAGCGAGAACTGGCGCCTTAACAAGGCCAGAGTGTGCTTGTCTACACATACAAAAGATGAACAGTGCGTGTTGACAGTTAAATTTCACACGGTCCACTTAAAGACTTTTGGCCCCATCGGCCTTCCATAATGATATGAGTTTAAATACATCACTAAAACTAGTTGTTCAGTTCAGTACATGATGGAAATGTGATTGTGACTACCTAATTTTTTCGGTAGTTAATTCAGTCGTAGAATGTGGTTGTCACTCCCATAAATTACTGAACTGTGTGGGTACAGAACAGGATTAAAGCACTAAAAGGTGAACTGATAACTGAGTTTAGCTGCAGTGTGTATGTGGCCTATGAAAGCCATTAATTTCAGTTCAGAAAAATACACACAAAACAAATACACTTACAAGGTTAACAGGGACATACACCTTTATTCAAAAACAGCTGTATAAAGGTTTTATATTGAAATGTACATGACAGGCTGCCTTCAGCTTCCAGAAATGAATCCTTTCGGTGTTCAATACGAAGAACCACATGTGTGTCGGTTCCAAAGCACTAATGAACAGGTGCAAAGGCTAGATGCATGTGACCTGAGGTACAGTTGCTTATGAGTCCTTAAAATCCATCTCAAACTGTAAGAAAATATACAGTATTGGTCCAGAGATGTACCATTAAAAGTCAGAAAAAATAAGACAAATTTATTATAAGAATTGCTCATGTTATAAAACATATCAGATTGGAAATGTTTCAAAGAGCAAAACTGTATGAAGTTAAGAATAACAAATAATGACTGGCATTAACTGCAACAAAATAAAAGGGATGTTCCACCTTTAATAAACGTTCGGTTATTTAAAAAAAAAAAAAAAAGATATGTTTTCTTTGAAAGTCTAATAGTTAAACTCTTAACTACAGGAAAGTCTAGTTCATTTTATGAATATTATGGGCATGATGTTAAAAAGCAGTGGTGTCCCTCTAAACATTTTGAAGTACTGATGTGCAAAATAAAGTTGAGTAAAAAAGTTAAGACAAAGATGTTACTTGGGAAAAAAATGGGATAGCAGACACAGCGATTCCATTGCAAGACAATTATTTTACATGACTAGAATTCAGTTTTATGTGATGTTTTCATCCCTGAAGTCATAAAATGAAGAAAAAGAGCATGTTTTGTACTGCATATATCCAGTCACAAATCAGTCTATTAATTTAATAGACACTGCACAGATTTTTCATCTGAAAACACTGTTTCCCACTCAATCCAGACATTATGAGAACATTTTATTCATTTGCTGCATTAAGGATTCAAAGAAATGATTCCCTTTGGTAAATGTAATCTGGGGGAGTGACTTAAGAAAATCACTGAGACGATCTCTCAATATAATGGCTCCTCAGAACAGGGAGATGTGGCGCATTTGAAGGAGTTCAATCTAAACACCCATTTCCCTCATGTCAAACACTGAGGAATAAAGCAGAAAGTTCACACTCAACTGCAGAAAGAGAGTTTGGTCGTATATCATAGGCAGCTTTAGAGGTTATATGAGAAGAGGGCTGTGCGCTGTAACACACTTAACTGTGTGTGAGTGTGTGAGTGTGTGTGTGTGTGTGTGTGAGTGTGTGTTAAGTAAGTAGCTGCCTGATCTCGCGGTGGACGTAGCACAGGAAGTCCATGTAAGACGCTCCCCCGTGAAGACCCTTGTCCTCCACCAGGTGCTGTCGGAACAACATCTCCGATCGGTCCTTCTGCTTCACTATCAGCAGCTGCACAGAGAGAGACACACATCAATCACACTGCTGACCTGAGATCAGTCAGGACAGAGGAAGATGAGCATTGAGGCAAGTGATGACAAGTGAAGAAAAAAGTTTGGGATCGATAAGATTTTTTAAAGTCTTACCCAGACTGCATTTATTTGATCAAAGTACAGTAAAAAAAACATCAATACTGTGAAATAGTATTACAATTAAAAATAATTAATATATATTTGAATATATTTTAAAATGTAATTTATTCCTGTGATGCAAAGCTGAATTTTCAGCATCATTACTCCAGTCTTCAGTGTCACATGATCCTTCAGAAATCATCCTAATATTCTGAATTTTGTGCACAAGAATCTTTTCTTCTTCTTCTTATTATTATTATTATTATTATTATTAAGGTTGAAAAATTAAGCTACTTAATATGGGAAAATGTGATGCATATTTATTTTTTATTTGTTTGGTGAATAAAAGGTTCAAAAGAATTGATTTTCCAATTTTCCATTTTAAATTGATTTAAAATGGAAATCTTTTTAACATGATAAAACGTTTACGGTCACTGTCAATCAATTTGATGCTTCCTTGCTGAATAAAAGTATTAATTTATTACATATAACATTTAATATGTTTATATATAATGACATGAGCACCACTAGGTACTATTCAAGCCTCTTTATAACGAACAAAAGACAGAGACAGATATAGAGAGGAGATGGTGAGAGTGAGCCGTACCTTCATAGATGTGGTCCTCCGCTGTAAAATGCTGGAGATGATTGAATGGATCTTCCTGGAATGAGCATTATCCAGCACAGGTAATGACGTCGGCTGAAAGATAATTGTAATACTAGAGTTATCACTGCAGCTCTGAGGTTACTCGCATAATGAGAAGAACTGAAAAAAACAGGTCCTTGATCAAAGCAACACGAGCAGTGAGATCAATTCTTGTAAAAAGGGGCATAATAGGTGCCCTTTAACTAAATGTGTTACTTGTCATTTCTTTACAATTAATTGTCAAATTTACTAACAATTTCTGATTGAAAATAGTTTTTTTTTTTCAGTACTGTAATTCATTTACTGTATAATAAAAATTTAATTAAAGGGTCATGAAACCCCCCGTTTCAGCACTGGTTAGTTTAAAAAAATTCTAAAAAAGTGGGCGTGGTGCGGAGCGGAGGGGGAAGAGGGGAGACAGACAACGCACACAGCTTTGGGTTCAACGCGCTGTTGCACCTCTGAGAATTTTTAGGCTTATTCTGCTGCATTTATATAAGCCTTTTGACGGCTTGTGTCACGGAGCTGTAAAAACGGTTACACTCACTAAGTGAATGAATTGCGTTTGTGCTGAACTCTTATTACAAAGCAAAAACAAACAATCTCCTTCCTTCGATCCATGAACGTTTCTCTCAGTTAATGTACGCGGTCTCACAGTCTGAAGCGTCTGTCATAGCAAATCAACACATGCTGTTGTGAATAATTAAGTGAAGGGTCTTCTCATAGGATAAGAACACGCAGTCTCATGAATCATTTAAGACACCGACGCGTCATCAAAGTACTATAGTCCTTTGCCACGTCACAAATTGTGACGTCAACACGATGTAGATTTTAAACCCGGAAGATGAAAATAGCGCAAAAAAGCTTAAAATTAACCAGTTTTCTCAAACAGTTAAAATTATCGGATGCTAACATTGTCTTCTATAATGTGCAACACAAACACCTCTTCTAAAATCTCAGAGAAAGTAGTCTGGGGTTTCATGACCCTTTAAGAAAGCTGTGTGTCATACCCCTTCTGAGGACAGATGGCCGAGAGAAGGCACATTGAAGAGGTTCTGTATGAGGTCGGGCGGACAGGCCTGTCCCAGCCAGAGGAACACGGAGAGCCCGTTTTCCAGCAGGAAGATGCCGGACTCGCTGAGCCGCTCCTCAGAGCAGCGCACTGGAGCCGGGATCGCCTCGCTGGACACATCCATAGTGTGCTGAGAGAGAGAGAGAGAGAGAGAGAGAGAGAGAGAGAGAGCCCTTGTCCTCCACCAGGTGCTGTCGGAACAACATCTCCGATCGGTCCTTCTGCTTCACTATCAGCAGCTGCACAGAGAGAGACACACATCAATCACACTGCTGACCTGAGATCAGTCAGGACAGAGGAAGATGAGCATTGAGGCAAGTGATGACAAGTGAAGAAAAAAGTTTGGGATCGATAAGATTTTTTAAAGTCTTACCCAGACTGCATTTATTTGATCAAAGTACAGTAAAAAAAAACATCAATACTGTGAAATAGTATTACAATTAAAAATAATTAATATATATTTGAATATATTTTAAAATGTAATTTATTCCTGTGATGCAAAGCTGAATTTTCAGCATCATTACTATGCATGAACTCTAGTGCTCAGGGTTTGATGTCAATGAGAGAAATTATAGGTATGTGTGTAACTGACCAGCGGGATGAGGCGTGGATAGAGCAGGACCTGTGTTTCCTCCACTCCCATCGCATTGACCAGGAGTCTGTGAAAGGCCCGGTCATCTGTGGAGAGCTCAGTGCTGCCCACTAGAGTCGAAGTCTTCAACAGACTGTTCATGTAGACGGGAAGTCGGCTGAAAGATAATTGTAATACTAGAGTTATCACTGCAGCTCTGAGGTTACTCGCATAATGAGAAGAACTGAAAAAAACAGGTCCTTGATCAAAGCAACACGAGCAGTGAGATCAATTGTGCATCGAAATAATATTGTCCTTCAAAGTAAAACCTGGATCATATATAATCCAATTCCAATCCAAATACTGTACTACTTAAAAAAAAAAAAAAAATGGAATGGAATGGAAAGGATGGATGCTTACATTAATAAAGTGAGAGAAGATGTTTTTATATATGTGAAGTGTGTCACTGACCTGGCTGGCTGATGAGGGGCTGGCGCAGTTCTTCCTGTAGCAGGCCAGCATGTGAGCCGTCTGGTTAACCAGGATTTCCCTCACCGTCTTCAGTGGCTGGTTGAGCATGGCCCGATACGCTGCAGGATAACAGCATCCACCACAATCAATGACTGTAAGCCATGAGCTCATGATACATTTTATTCACTTTCATGTTGACCAGAAGTCAATGTTGTTACAAACTTCTACATAAGAACGATTTAATTTGTTTATTTATTTATTTTTGTTTTTAGTGAAATGTTACTCTGACCCTTATCTGGATGAATGTGGCATAATGTATTATAATAACTATAAGATAATATCTTATTTCTTAGGTGTAAAACTTTTTTAAACAGTTTGGTTCCAAGAAAATCTGGGATTAAAATCCAATTTAAACCTGGAAATATATTTTAAATTTTTAATGAGTAAACAATATGACGTAAAATTAATTTTTAAAAATAATAAGAGGAATCTGTACTATTTCTAGGTCCCTAATCAAACAAGCACATTTTTAATCATGTGACACTTTTCACTTATGGTCAGATGTTCATATTTCAGTCCAATTTCTCACTCAAATCGTTATGGTGATATCATCTGCAGTGAAAAATTAGACAAAATTGGACAAAGATTTGGAAAAATTAATTTAATGAAAATTCTTCTGATTTGCTTGATAATTTTCTAAGTTCTAAAAAAAAAAAAAGAAACCGTTTTTTTTAAACTATGTTTTACAAGAAAAAGTCAGCTTTTCTACTTCAAAATTTCACCTTTAAAGGGCACCTATTAGGCCAAATCCACTTTTACATGGTGTTTGGACATAAATGTGTTGACAGTGTGTGAACCCAACCACCCTACAATGGTAAAAATCCACCCACTCCACATTTTGAATTCCCATCCACTATAAAAAATCAGTTACACTATTTTAAGATGTCCTTGTTACAGTGGAATTATACATTTAAGTAATATTATTTAACTACATGTACTTAATATATGGTTAGGTTTAGGATTAGGGTTATTTGCATGTAATTATGCATAATTAATTGTTATTATAATAGTAAGTACATGTAACATGTGTAACAAGGACACCTTAAAATAAAGTGTTACCAACAAATCTAACTATCTAAAATAAATAAATCTAAAAAAAAAAACTAATACAAATCTCTATAAATATGAAAAAGTAATAATGTAAAAATGAAAAGGTAATAAATGTATAAAAATGAAAATTGTTTCGGCATCGCAGTGTTATTGTAAACAAAAATAAATATAGGTAATATAAAATAAAATATATAAATATTAGATGAAAAATTAAACTGAAATTAAATGTCTTAGCTGAAGTAATAAAATTACTAAAACTAAAACTGAGAAAAAATAAAGCTAAAAAAATAGATTAAAAAAATGAAATTAAAATAAGCACAAACTGGAAAAAAGACTGGAAAATATAAAGCTAAATAAAAAAAAATACATTAAAAAAATTAAATTAAAATAAGTACAAACTGGAAACGACTGCCTGCACTGAGCATGTTTTGTTTCGCTATAAAACCAGTCTATAATGAGATAGTGTCAGATTAAAAATACTTCTAGAAAGCAAGTATTTTACGGATTTAAAATTCTCATGGAACATTTTTACATCAGCATTATGTTACAGCTTGAAGTAAATCTGTAACAACTGCATGACGTTTTCATGTACATTCCTGTAAGGGTTGGTAAGGCGGTCACCTGACTTGGCGAAGAAGTTGATGAGGGCGTCTGTCTCACAGCTTTTGTAGAGTTCAGACAGCTGAGAGCTGCAGTTCAGACTGAGGTTGTGAATCCGCAGCCTCCTCTGTCCACCGATGCTAAAAAAAAAAAAAGAAACCGTTTTTTTTAAACTATGTTTTACAAGAAAAAGTCAGCTTTTCTACTTCAAAATTTCACCTTTAAAGGGCACCTATTAGGCCAAATCCACTTTTACATGGTGTTTGGACATAAATGTGTTGACAGTGTGTGAACCCAACCACCCTACAATGGTAAAAATCCACCCACTCCACATTTTGAATTCCCATTAAACCAAATCAGTCTCACTAGGCCTGCCGTTTTGATTCTCTAAGCAATATGATATCACATTGCTTAGGCCCCGCCCACAGCTTCTCCGCACTCGAGCAGCTGTAACATCAACAATATCTCGTAAGCAATCCCGATGCTCTGTGTTTGGATGTAAGACTGAACATTAGAGACTGCGTTTTCTCCCAACATCTGAGCCACTGAGGACGCAGTGGATTACTTTCATTTTTCAAGATAATGCGCCTCAAAATCTACCTAAATATGTTTATGTCTGCGCAAATCATTTCACTCCAGACTCCTTTGTGAATGTCATCATGTCATTATAGTGCTTAGCATTTTAACCGGATTTGTGTGCGTACATGAAGTATTTTAATTGGCCAGCGCCGCGCTTGTAAGATTAGTTTGCGAGCTATGTAACATCGTAACGTTTCGTCCAACTTTCAGTGCATTTGGCTTCTCATATGTACAGCTGAACACCGGTTCTCTCGCTCTCAGTCATGTTGCTTCTACCGGCTGTTTATTGCTGTAGGTATGCAAAGCAGAGAGACGTATACACAACGCCCTCTTCTGGAGACTGGGAATATGCAGCTCATTTGCATTTAAAGTGATACACACCAAAACAGCTCTTTTTTAGACACGCCCCAAAAATGACATTTTCCATAAGATATTATACTGTAAATGATCTGTGGGGTATTTTGAGCTGAAACGTCACAGACACATCCTGGGAACACCCAAGACCAATATGTGACCCTGGATCACAAAACCATTCTTAAGTCGCTGGGGTATATTTGTAGTAATAGCCAAAAATACATTGTATGGGTCAAAATTATTGATTTTTCTTTTATGCCAAAAATCATTAGGGCATTAAGTAAAGATCATGTTCCATGAAGATATTTTGTAAATTTCCTACCGTAAATATATCAAAACTTAATTTTTGATTAGTAATATGCATTGCTAAGAACACCATTTGGACAATTTTAAAGGCGATTTTCTCAATATTTAGATGTGCTTAAACTCGACCGTCACAGCTTTGTCACAGTCCACTGCTGCCATTTCCACATCTGTAGTGTTGTTCATGTATATGGCACCAAAGAAATCTGTCGCCCTGAAGCCTTGAAGGATGAGGATCACGCAGAGGTTACAAAAAGCATATGCCATACATACAGTACATTACCATTCAAACGTTTAGAGTAAGATTTCTTACGTTTCCTATGCTCTATAAGGCTATATTTATTTTATCAAACAAGCATTCATTAAAAACGGGCATATTCAGACAAATCCAATTCTTGCTTCTTACTAATTTCGGAGTTCTTGATTCCAAACAATGCCAGTTTTGCTCGAGCATGTCACTTTCTCACAAAATATGTGCATTTCCATAGCATTTGTGCTTTCATCATCCATGTGTGAGATGAAGTCTTGTACAATCTCTTAATCAGCAGAAAAACTGGCAAACATGATTTCTGTGTTCCTCCGAGCAGAATCACAACCATTTGTACAATTCTCAGCTGATTCTGAAGATCATTGTATGCCTACAGTAAGTCTGATTTCCACTTTTTCCCACTTCTTTGCAGATTGCAAGTTAAATGATACATTTTGAATGCCTTTTTGACATTTCACACATATAGTTTATATAATTTGAAAAATCCTATTTCGTGGGCATCATCAAATTAGGTAATATTAGGCCTTATATATTATGACAACATTATCAGTGTTGCTACTTAATATTTTTGAGGAAATCATGACGCATTTTTTCCATGATTCTTTGATGAATATAATGTATAAAAGAGCAGCATTTATTTAAAATAGAAATATTTTGTAACAAAATATTTTTTGGCAACATTATAAGGCTGTAACTATTTCTTGAACAAAGGGGAGGGGCGATTTTTATTTATTTTTATAAAGCATAAATAAATAGAACAGTGAAGGAAATTCTAGGTCTAATTCTAGTTTGAAAGTAAACATTTTGAACTATTTGCAAATAATATTTTAAAATATCCACTTTTATTTGTTTGTCGAAAACGCAAAAGATTCTTATCTCGTCAGGAATGAGCCTACGTGAATCACAGATGATACTATATTTTCAATTAAAAATGGCCATATTTGAGAAGGAAGTCGAGAAGTTTGTATTTCTATCTTAAAAGAGTTTTTGAATATTAAATGTTTTGCTACTTCCCTCTTATCCCGCTCCCTAAAAATGTTACTTTTAAACTTTTTTGTTATCCTAACAACAAACAGAACGCAGCGTAATGGAGGGCAGCAGAACGATGCAAGAATTTCAAATATTAAGGATAACAATTTGGCCATTTTTAATTATTGGGGAAGAATTGTTGTGGTTACGGCCCCAATTCAATTAATCCTTTTTGAACAAAAGTATTCATTTCTTTCAAAAAAAATACTGACCACAAACTTTTAAATGATAGTGTACATAGTATGTTTAACTTTACTTATTGTAGTGTTCATGTACTTTTCTCTAGTTCATTACCTGTGCCAGTACGGACGCGCATGATGGCGTCAAATCCGATGGACTTCTCCACATCTCTCCTGAGGTCACTGAGAAACTGCTGACCATTCACCTCCACCTCAAAAGAGAGAAATAAAGCTTTGAGGTCTAACCACAAGAGGGCAGTAAAACAAAAGAGTTCAGACTCTATTTTGTACCATATGTGACCCTGGACCACAAAAGTGGTCTTAAGTGTCAATTTTTCCGAAATTTAGATTTATACACCATCTGAATGCTGAATACATAAGCTTTCCATTGATGTATGAATTGTTAGGATATTACAATATTTGGCTGAGATATAACTATTTGAAAATCTGGAATCTGAGGGTGCAAAAAAATCTAAACATTGAGAAAAACGCCTTTAAATTTGTCCAAATGAAGTTCTTAACAATGCATATTACTAATCAAAAATGAAGTTTTGATATATTTACGGTAGGAAATATGCAAAATATCTTCATGGAACATGATCTTTACTTAATAGCCTAATGATTTTAGGCATAAAAGAAAAATCGATAATTTTGACTCATACAATGTATTTTTGGCTATTGCTACAAATATACCCCAGTGACTTAAGACTGGTTTTGTGCTCCAGGGTCACATATTCACAGCATCGGTGTTTTAGTATGTACATGTTATGGTGTACCTGGAAGTTGCTGTACTTGTAGATGGAGCCGCTGGTGTGTGACGGCACATCGCCCATGGTGGCTATATCCACAAACTGGTTAGGAAACAGGAAGAGATCGACACAACAGCCCTGCGCCACACAGTCTTTAGTCAGCTGCTCATACACACCCCGCTGAGGCTGGAACAGAGTCTGACAACACACACACACACACAAATCACCATTCAGTTTATGATTTTGTCGTTCAAAGCATTCATGCCATAACAAAACGAATTTGTAAATCTGCTTTGAAATAATGTGTATTGTGAAAAGAACTTATAAACTAAATTTGGCTTGACTTGTTTTATACTATTTTCAGGGTTCCGGTAGGTTTTATGAAGGTAAATTTAAGACTTACTGAGACATTTTTAAGGCCAAGTAAAAACAAATAATAAATAATAAATGTAATGCAATGCTTGAAAGTTTAAAATTACAACTTTCAACAGATATCCATTACTTTATACTTTAATTACGTTTTACATTACAGTTTTTTTTCAACTGCTTGCACACATTTTCAAAACTTTGCCTCTTTTTTTAAAAACTTTACACAAAAATCCAAGAATTGCACACACAAAATGCAAAATGCCTCACATTTCTTGCAAAATGAAGCACTGCATTCAAAATATCACAAACACATCTCAAAAGCAAACATTTGCAAACACCTTTGCCATAATATAATTTTTTTTTTTTTAGATTTTTGTGTGTTACATAGAGAATTGTGTGTCGTGTTTTGCAAAAAGTGTTTTATGAAATTGAAACTGAGTCAAAGGCCGAGAATTAGTGTATGGTTTTGCAGATTTGGTGTGTGGTGTTTGAGTGTCAGGTTTCAGAAATTGTGTGACAAGTGAAGATTTTGTAAAAAAAAATTTTAAATAAATAAAAACTTATGGCTTGAATAGCTCTGCTCCCAACCACTACAATATGGAAATAACTTTTACTGTGCCTTCTGATTACACTGTAAAAAAAAAAGTAATGATCTGCCTCTGTATTTCTGCCTTGTTTTCCAGTGCAAATGTCTAAAGATTCTTAAATCAAGACACATTTACTTGAGAAGCGAGATGACAAGCTACATCTTGTTTTATGAAAAATGTATCAAAATGAAGTGGGTTCATGGTTAACAAGAACAAATATCTGGCTCAGAAAAACAACTTTCAAATGAAATGAAGCTTCAAGTTTTCATACCCTATTGATAGATATTTTTTTCTTGTTTTAAGCATAAACTCAGTTTTGTTTAATTTCACTAAAAATAAGACTTTTTATCTGCATTATACATCTCAAGCAAATGTATATTGATTCATGGATGTTTAGATATTTGTACTGGAAAATAAAACAAAAATAGTGAGGAAGATATTCATTTTGTGCAGTGCACACAACATTTAATGCAAAGACTTCATGAATTCTAAAGGTCTTTTTTAAGGCCTTAATTTCTGGAAGGATGAATTACAGACTTAAGTAAGAAAGACACATTTTAAGGCCTTTTTTCTGAAATTTCTGAAATTTAATTAAATAAAATATTTACCTTCTCCTTTTCTGTACCCACTAATTTTAGGTCATCTCTGTTTTTCAGTTTTCCTGGCGCCTCTGCTGTTGGGATGGAGGACTGAAAGATGAAGAGTTTGCCACTGCATTCAGCTGCCTGAAGAGAAAAAAAATATCACAAAAATATAAAACTGTGAAATGGTTTTATCTGACAGGCCAGGAAGTGTTAAGTGTATATGAGTTCAAATATTTGATGAAGAGCAATGACCGAAAACTTAAGACTGAATATCTTTAGTTTTAAAGAGACAAAGACAGATGTTATGAAACAACCAGTGCTGTCGCCAGTAATGATAAACGTCGTCCCAGGACTGTGATAGAATATTTTTATTGATATTTTTAAACACAGCATCATCAAACTAGGAAATATTATGCCTTATATCAGAAGTCAGAAAGAGCTTTATTGCCAAGTATGTTTTCACATACAAGAAATTTGTTTTGGTGAAAGAAGCTTCCAGTATATATATATATATATATATATATATATATATATATAAACACTATATTTCTATGTCAAATAAATGCTGTTTAATCTAGGTCTAATTCTAGTTTGGAAGTAAACATTTCTAACTATTTGCACACTTTTATTTTTATTTTTTTTTATTTGTAAGCCTAGCATGTTTAAAATGCCAGTTTTATGGTTTTATATTTTTGTGAAAAAGCAATGACCGAAAGCTTAAGGTCACTGAATGAATGTGTCCCTAAACACTCCTTAAAGAGTCAAAGACAGATGTTATGAAACAACCAGCGCTGTCGCCAGTAATAAGCAGGAACATCATCCCAGGCCTATGAATTCAAACAACAGCCCTAGAAACAACTGCATGTTTATCAAACAAAGCCTGCTTGCAGCATTAAAATGCACTTTTGTTAAACGATGTAAAAAAAAACACAATAAAAGGATGATGCTAAATATGCAAGTACGATTACAAAGGGACAGTACAGATGGACTGATGTCATTGTCTGGTAAACAGTTTCGACTCTTCGATTTGTTTTTACCTTTAGTGCCTCCACACCAGCTTGGATGACGGGTGAGAAAACAGTCTCGCTCTCGTTGGTGTCAGCAAACATGTCAGGGATCTGCTCTAAAAGGCTAAAGAAAATAATACATAAAATCATATTAACAAGAATAGCCAATTTGGGTCTCAAAGTGAAGCCATGCTTTAAGATAACGAACAGTGAAATATAGAAGAGTATAGGAAGTATCGCTTAGGAAGTAATTATTGTAATTCTAGTCTGGGCAGTTTACATCCTCTTAGAAATGATCCATCTCTCATATATTTCTATGGAAACTTTAGTGATGTATGCAAAATATTTGAATAATCCTTTTGATTATTTTGCTATACATTATAACAAAATGACAAGAAAAAGTGTGTGTGTGTGTGTGTGTGTACCTGTTTTTCTATTCTGGTGGTGACTATTCAGACTCTTGGGGACTCGTGTCACGGTGGGGACCTAAATTGAGGTCCCCACGGGTAAACAAGCTAATAAATCACACAGAATGAAGTTTTTTGAAAATCTAAAAATGCAAAGTTTCCTGTAAGGGGTAGGTTTAGGTGTAGGGTTGGTGTAGGGCAATAGAATATACGGTCTGTACAGTAGAAAAATCACTACACCTATGGAGAGTCCCACAAAAATAGCAAACCAGACGTGTGTGTGTGTGTGTGTGTGTGTGTGTGTGTGTAAAAATTTTATAAAATGTGGGAGAAATTAGAGATTTCATAAGGTTCTGCATATTTACATTTAGTCATTTAGCAGACGCTTTTATCCAAAGCAACTTACAAATGAGGACAATGGATGCAATCAAAATCAACAAAAGAGCAATGATACGCAAGTGCTTTAACAAGTTTCAGTTAGCTTAACGCAGTACACGTAGCAAGGTTTTTTTTAGATGATATGTGACCCTGGACCACAAAACCAGTCATAAGGGTCAATTTTTCGAAATTGAGAGTTATAAATATGCTTTCCATTGATGTATGGTTTGTTAGGATAGGACAATATTTGGCCGAGATACAACTATTTGAAAATCTGGAATCTGAGGGTGCAAAAAAATCTAAATATTGAGAAAATCATCTTTAAAGTTGTTCAAATGAAGTTCTTAGCAATGCATATTACTAATCAAAAATTAAATTTTGATATATTTTCAGTAGGAAATCTACAAAATATATTAATTGAACATGGTCTTTACTTAAGGGCCTAATGATTTTTGGCATAAAAGAAAAATCTATAATTTTGACCCATACAATGTATTTTGGGCTATTGCTACAAATATACCCCAGCGACTTAAGACTGCTTTTGTGCTCCAGGGTCACATATGATAAATAAAAAGAAAACAGACAGAATACAAAAAGATTAGAGAAGCTAGTGTTAGATTTTTTTTAAAGCAGTTTGTAAATGAATAGTGCAAGTCTAAAATGGGCACGTTTTTTTTAAAGAATAGAATTAGAATAGAGTGTTCTATAGAGATTAACAGATTATTTAATACCAATTTCAATTACTTGCATACGTAAGCATATAAGATATATATATAAAACACTGCAGTATTCCTTCTGATTTAATGGTGACTTTAATACTAATTCTAAATGCTATATATGACTCAGTGTAATAAGCCTAGAAGTGTCTTGTAAATTAAACTACTTACAGAAGAGTTTCGTTTATAACTACAGATAGAAATGAACCTACTTGTTGATGACAGCTCGGGACTCCTGGAAGTTGACGAGGAATCCGTCGAGAAGTGGTACAAACATCTCAGCCACATCAGAGACCACCATCATCTGCGGCTGGGCCAGAGCGCTCTTCACATTATAGAAGTGCAGGATCTTATTATAGGTGACAAAACCCACTTTGATAGCCGAAGTCTCGGCTCCCTCCTCTCTTCAAAAGACAAAGTACAGAAGAAAACTGATCGGTAACACCAAAAAGGCTATATAAACGTGTCCCCAAAAATTATTACATGAATAAATATATAAATATATATTTGCAAATATACGATACTAGAACTTCTCAGAACTGCCTTCACTTTTCTGAAACATTTTTTGCCATTACTTTTAATCAAACAGTGGCAGTTAATTTCTGAAGCAAGTTCTCCTTTAGATTCACACGTGTTAATCAAGTCCAATTCATTTATATAGTGCCTTTCACAATGCACATGGTTTCAAAAGCAGCTTTACAGAAAATCATGATGTTAATATTTATAATATAGCAGTATCTTTGCTCTATAATATTCCTTAACATGCCAATTCAAACATGCTACATATCACTTTCCTTGTTTATGTTACGTATACGGATAAAGTTGGACAAACTTATAAATCAAACATTATATACAGGCAATAATATAGTTACATTTGATGACAAAATAAATGAAATTTACTATAAAGTAAATATCGCTTTACATGAGAGTACTGTATGTGGTTCATCAAATTAACTACAGACATATTTTTACAAGCACTTGATAACAAGAAAGTGTGCAAATAGTTTATTTTAACTTTCTTTTAAGCAGTACATATATTCTATAATTACTTTAAACTAAAACTTTAAAAAAAAATGCATTAGCAAAAAATAGCAATGCATTAGAAAAAAAGCAATGAATTAAATGCATGGGAAAAAATAGCTTTAAAATAATGATTGAATAACTATAACAGTAACTATATTTTGAATTAGATTTTATTTGTACATTTTTTATTTAAAATTTTCTATAATTTTTAGCAATTTTGTTATGTGCTTTTGTCATTTTTATTAATTTGTTTTTTTATATATATATATATATATATATATATATATATATATACACACATTTTAAGATAAGATTGTGTTTTAAACAATTAAATAATCATCAAATAATTAATAATATTTATTATGTATGAAAATTATATGTTTTAAATGACCAATTAATCAACAGTACAGAGTAAAATACATACAATTTCTGTTTAAAAAAAAATGTATATGCATATTTTGATTCTAAATTTCTAGAAGGTCCTAACAACTAAATATATATATAAAAAAAACTGCCCTCTCCAAGAAGACACCATAACACATGTAGGGTTTTTCAACTCAAAAAGGGAAATATTTATGACGAATTATAACTGGTTATGATTCATA